TGATTTATTGCCATTTATTTTAATTGCCAATATTAAATATGAGATTCACTGATTGTTCGAGTACTCGACGAGAATTTTGTGTCGTAAAACTTTCAATTTTCACTCATTCATAAGGCATCTCGTCTAAATCATCAGCGTCCAATGACTCAAAGAAAGTATACGGCTTCGAAGACGTTCTCGCATGCGGAATAACATTTATCTAGCTTGTACAAGATGTATAATCAGACTGGTTCTCTTACTTTTGTCGTGTCCAAGTAGAAACAGACGAAATATGACGATGCTAAGTAAGAAACGAATTGGAGGGTATATCATATCAAATGGTCTCGTGTATACAAATATGCGTGCATGTCTGCGTGTTTGACCCATAATCGGAGAAATGGAAAATGATGACACCGCGCTTCTTCACGTGACGTGACACAATGCGGTCAGACACGGGCCTCACGTGATACGATAATGATGCGTATACATATATATCTCGCCCGCTTGCAATCGCCTGTATATATCATAACGCTAAGTAATGACAGGACATGGCCCCATCGCGTTGCAGGATGAGCGTATTAGAAAGTCGATAGCACGGATCTATGAATGTGGCATAGTATAATGTCAATGCGCCTCGCTACGATGTATAATGGCTAAATGATTTATCGTGCTTCTTCGATCAAAGACTTATTCACCCTTCGTCCTCGATCGCTAAATCCTTAGCGTCTCAATCGAGTGTTTTGGCTGCGATTATGTTACGCTTTTCAAGCACACTCTCATACATAATAGTGTATAATAAACATTATATATTAATCCATAATCGATCGTGAAGATTTCGTAAGCACGCAACCGATTATACTCCACTCTTTCTATTCTTCCACTCGTTGCATTTTTTTTTATAATTTGACTTGATTATGCTGGAGCGAAATAATTGCACAACTTCTAAGTTCGAATAAAGATTTATATCGCATATCATTATTCCATAAATCACTCAATGCAAGATTTTATCTTGCAAACTGCACGATCTCGTCATTAACGCGAAAGCTTTAAGACTTAAGCTATTAAACAATAGTAGTAATATTTTTGTTGAGCTACGAGAGAAAGCAAGAGAAAGAGAGAGAGAGAGAGAGCGAGAGAGGAAGGAACTATTCGCAAAAAAAATGCGTCGATTTCCGGAAATAAAACCGTTTGCGTGGGGAAAAGTTAAAAGAAAGATTTTTTTGAGATCGACAACGAGATTTCGAATTACGTAAACGTATCTATCTTGCGTGATGCAAAGCGTGAGTGAAAATCGTTGCCGCGCTTGCCGTTAACACCGTGTTCGGTAAAAACAAGACGAGCAGAAACTCATATTTTCTCGCGGAACCTAACGGTATTGCGGAATGAAGGATACGGTCGCAGGATGAAAACGTTTGCCCGGAAGGCGGAACGGCATAGAAATAGTAAAGAGAGGAAATTTCTTTCTTCTTTTTTCAGTCTTCAAGTTTTTAGATCAATTTGTGTTCTTTTAGTTTTAAAATTATTTTTTTAAGAGATGCAGCGAGATATTTAAAAATAGCGGGAACATGAAATTTCACGCATGAATAATGTATAAAAAAATTCGGATGCTATAAGGAAGTAATCTCACTGTCTATTACTCTCAAAGATTTCAACGCCGGATAAAATATTAGCAGAGACTTTAACGTCGGATAGTGCTGCATTTTATAATTGCTTCATACAACTCTTTTTCTCTTTTTTTCTCTTCTTTTCTCTTTGAATAAAAAAATTATTATGAAAAACTTTTTCTTTATTTAGCGAGCGTTTCTACGTATGGTGTATCGTATATATTATGGACATACGATATGTGTATTATACACTTAACTACTTTCTTTGAAGAAATTCCTAGGAATTGAAAAGTTGGATTTCTTGAAAAAGCAATCTTTTACAACAGGATGTCACCGTGAAACGTGTCAGGGCGATAGTGAAGCGTAATCGAAGTGATGCGTAACGTATAACTGTGCTGTGCAACCTGTCCTTTATCGCACTCGTGTTCCACTGACCCACTGCACTTCGGCCTCCAGGTACGTTGCACAGAGTATTTAATAATACTCATATATATTTACAAGATGTTTCGTCGCAATCAATTCTTCTGTTAACGACTCTTCCGTGACGGTTGTGTGTATTTCATAGAAAACTTTTCAGACAATTTTATCTATGAGATTTTATCTGATAAAGAAATAACGAAAGTTCTCTAGTCTGAGATTTCATTGCCAAGATATTTTATCGTTAATGACTCAGTCTTATTATAATCATTACTGTCTTCTATAATCAGTTGAACACAATTTTTCAATAGAATTACTACTGAATATTACGTCGCTAATTGAACGTTAATTATTAGAATTTGCATATATTAATTTTATCTGTGAAATTACTGCTTCATAGAATGCAAATTTGTTAACGCTCAAACATCGGTATTGACTTTCTGTCTTAAAATGTATGTATATGTGTTAATATTATTGTACGTATATCAATATCAACATTCTCTGATATCTAAAATAATATTCCACCTGTTTATGAGGCACAAGCGGAAAAGAGCAATGTACTGTTCGGTGTACTGAATTTCATGCATTCCGATGATCATTAAGCGGTCTAATTAAGATGACTTACTAATTTATAATTGTCTTGCAATTATTGCACTCGGAATGCTGCAATTTTTTAATCAACAACATCCTGAATCCTTTCAATCACAAATCGCATGTTAAAAACTGCAAATTATTCTAAAACATGTTTCTAATGGAGTAGTGTCTTTCTATGCGATTATATTATACATTTAGATTTGCGGTAGTGAGTGTTTAACATTTTTCACCGTTAGAGCTTCAGAATGAAAATGTGAAAAGTGACAAATATTGTATATTATCTTTTTTTTCGCGAAAGTAAAAGTTATAATAAAAGAAAGTATAATATTGAAAATAAAGATATAAAGAAATAACAAGTATTTTCACACAACACGCATGTTTTTTAATTAAAAATTTTAAAAAATACGAAAAGTAAAAGTGCCTGATTAAATTTTCATGAAGAGAAAAAGTAAATAAAAATTAATTAACTAAAAGATTTACATGTGTAGATCTAGATAAAACAAGAGCGATGGTAAAACAAGAATACACCGTGCACGTTTGCGGTACGGTTTCGAAATGTTCACTAACTGCATGTAGCTTACAATGATATATCATAGGTCAGGGATAGTTTAGATACTAAATTTCAAACTTTCTCTCAAGTAAGAATTTTCTGAAAAACTTGAAACGCATTTCTCACCAAAAATATACATAACTTTTAAAGCCAAATAACTTGTATTTTGTAATTAAAAAATATTTTTTTTAATTAAACAATTTTAATTAAGCAAGAATACCCTATATCGGCAAAAATGGATCTTTTATAAAAAAAATTAATTGAATTTCAAAGTAAATGAGTTATGAGAGTAACGACTCATAATTCATGGAAATATCAAGTGTCAAAAAAAAAAATAATTAATATTAAAGAAGTACAACAATTTTAAATAATTATACAAAAAATCTTACTTGTTTCTTGCTTATGCAATTTTGCAATGATTAACATGAAATATTGTATCGCAATTCTAATCGATTATACAGCACGAAGTGCAGTATTACGAATGTAACAACGATATAACTGTGCAATTTCGTTGTTCATCAAGATAATCAAAGAATACATCGACTATATAATGAGAATTGGTTACACGACCTTGCGCACAACGTTAATTATGCACGCTCCTTGAACGTGGCAAGAGTTATGGTACGATACGGTAGCTCTCACTTTGATACGATTTACTCATAAATAATAGATTAAAATATAAGATACTGCTTCAAAAACAATATTAAAAACTAAATTAAAAAGATATTGTTTCAATGCAGATATATAATAAATTTTTCAACACTAAATATTTTTGACTATGTAATCTTCAATAAAAGAAATAATAATGTAACATTGGAAAAAAATATGTGAATAATATTGCCAAAGTATTAAGAGTTAAAAAAAATTAAAATTTTTAATCTTCTGCTATAAATTTTATTTTATGATATATTATATGTTATAGAATTTGTAAAGATAAATGAAGTATTTCTAAAATAATTTATATATGTGAGCTCACCTTATAGCGAGCATTAAATTTAGCTATTTGACATTTAATTTATATCCTAAAAATTGCATCAATTTTGTTAACAACAGATAATTTATTCAGGATAAATTTTATCATTCTCTCTTTACAGCTGTAAATTAAGACATAAGAATTTATTTCACCAATAAGTCATATGTTATTAGTGCAACTATAAGCGCCCAATATGTAATGTATAATACAAAATGCATTCTAAACATTCAACAAATTATCATATATTCACTTGTAAAATAGCGAATACATTGATATAAATTTCAAATGTTTTCCGAGCGTTCGGACTCTCTCGGAGAAACTGACGGAGAAATTGTTTGTCATAAACCATCCACCATTTTTCTTCATCGATTAACATGACTTGTGTGTTCAAGCAATGCTTGAATTAGCTAACTATTTTACGGCAATCAATTGGCGCTAAATTGAGTGTCTTTATATAGAATGATTAAAAAAGCTACCGTGAGTGAGAACAATAGCAATTTATAATTCATACTACAATCTTGTTTCGGTCTGATTGCCGACATGTATATTGCATGTATCTAACAATATGAGTTATCATTAGTCGCGGTTAAGAATCATGGTTTATAATAAATTAATCGGATAACCACCTGAGAGTTACGTAAAAGTAAGTCTCGCCGCTTAACATTTACGTTCAAAATTAATAAGTGGCACTCTAAAGTTTAAATAACACTGACGTGTTATAAAACAGCGATGGCGTAATAAAAAAAATCAAGATAGAAGTATATGTAAGAGAATTGCGATCAAAATTTGGAGCGCGATAGATTTCTAACTTTCAATGTCAAACTTATCGAAATCTATCATAGGGGTATAACTATCGTATTATATAAAGAATATAATAACTCACCATGCCTGAGTTTTCCCTTCTTCGAGATCAGCAAGGATAACGGCCTCGGCACTTTTTCAGAACAAATAGTGTCACTGTTGTCAGTCCTAATACCGAAAAGGGCGTTCCTGCCGACCTTCATGTACTGCCTGCCCATCGCTTTCGGGGACCCCGTCCCGAATAAGGATGTGATAAACTTCATCTTCGATTTTTGATTGATTCGTGCAGAAGAATAATTTTCTCTTGAGCTCGTAGATCGATGAAAAAATCGATTTCACTCGAAGACACTAATAAGATGGTTTTATATCAATTAGTCTGAACCAGTCACGTCACTTTTATCCAACTCAATGCTTGTCTGCGATTCATTAATAATGTTTTAAAAATGATACTTAATGTTTATTTATTTTTAATCGCACTTTTATTTAAATCGGTTCTCAGTAATTCTCGAACGTTTAATCTTCAATAATTGAATTACGTTAGCCTCGGGCGAAAAAAAATGGATTAGATAATTCTCGGTCAGAGCTAGATGGCTAATTAGTCGTTCTGATTGAGAGCACGTTGATTTGGAATTGCATCTACAGGGGATCATCATCATCATCATCATCATCATCATCATCATCATCATCATCTGGCGTCACTGCGCCGAACATTGTTCTCATTACGAGTGCGTACCTGCGTCGTCATTATCGCCGTCGTTATCATCAATATCGCCTCGTCGTCGTCGTGTCGATAGCGCGGTTTCGACAGGTACCACCACACCACGTGTCTCTCACGTTCGTATTACGCACTGGACTTTCACGCCTGGTCCAGGTGGGACGCGCGTTACCCCAGCTTCACTTTCACTCGTCGCGATCTCGTCGTTGGTCCTTCATTCTTGGTTTTTGCCTGAAATGCGAAACCAAATCGAGATTAAAAAGAGAAGATGGAGGTGGTGAAAAAGAAATCGGCCAGGTCAATCGCGATCGAAAAAAAATTTAACGAAGAGCAAGCCGCGATATACACGTTTTGCGACGTAACCGACTGTTTGCCATCGAACACGCATTACGTAAATGCAAAGTATGCATTTATGTGAAAAATTTTTATTTCGTCGCGACTTCGTCGTGTCAATATTAAAATCGTATGGTCAAATTTATGAAAACATCGCCGTATAGTTTTGCGCATGATAATCTGTTAGCCGCATCTTTCTTATGGACATTATAACGTAAAAATCGTATTATACTGTTACCACACGTAACAAGGGAATTGTATCGAATTATGTGTGTAAAGATATTATTTAATTTTTTTAAATTTAATTATATCTAATGTATTAACAGGAATTTATTTTCGATTTTGTATAACTATTAATCAATGTCAAGATTGCAAAGTGTGTTGTAATTTCAAGCGCATTTATTATATATGATATAAAAATACATAAGGTCGGCGTAAAAAGTGAAAGATCAGATATTTACATATAGCAATATATAAATGAATATTAATCAACAATAAGAAAAAGAAGTTCCCTTGGAAATGCATGTGTTGCAAAAAAGTCAGATTGACAATATCAAAGATCACGGAACGAATTACAGCCCTCAGGGAATAATGCACGCTAATAAGTAAGATATATAACACAATAGAAAAATAGAATAATTATTATTATATAACAATTCGTAGAATAAATGTTTAAATTCAAATACGTTGATATATTTATATGCAAACATTTAACTTAGAGATATCTCGCGAGACTAACAAGAAACGATTTTGTTTGTTTCAAGTGTAAATCAATTATATAAATATATATATATATATATATTTATTTAAGTATTATTATATAATATTATATAATTATATCCAATGTGTGGAAATACTAGCAAACAATGCTCTTTTAGATTAAGTTATCATAATTTATCAAAATGTATTCCTGAAAAAATATAAATAAGTAACAAAGCTTTATTTTTAATTATTTTTAAATAATCAAAAATTACAAAATTATATCAAAATTAATTTACAAGAACATTTAATTACGAAACAGATAAAATGTTTGAAAGCTGTTAATAAAAAGGCTCTAAATACGATTAAAATTACACAAGTACTGTTAATCTCTAAGAAAACGCTATATATATATATATATATATATATATATATATATATATATAGTTAATTTTTTATACTGATAAACTAATACATGTATCAATTTAAAGTCTTTAATATCACATATAATTACCCTAATCGTCTTGTGAAGTATAAATATTACTTTATATTAAATGGTCTGCTGAAACAATGAATTAAGCAATTATATTGCTGACGCACAAAATTGTCACAAACACAAATCGTCTTATATTTATTATGATTTTATTTACAAAATAGCGTCATGATCAGTGGCAATTGCTGCAATTATAGAAACGAGACAAAATTAAAAAATATATAATATTGTAAAAAGCTCGTACGTCAAATGAATCGTTTCTTAATACTTAAATGCACGTGTTAATGTGATCTCAGAACAAATATAATCTGTGTTTCAATAGAATATTTTTTCTTCGTTATTTTTATACTTGAGTTTTACACAACTTATTTTAATTTTTAAAAACTCAAAGTAAATCATGAAAATAATTATTTGACGGAATAGTCTGACGTTTCGTCAAAATTAAATTTATTGCGCAACAATAAATAAAGATATCTTTTTATACTTTTATATGATCTAACAATAAGATTGCTGACACGATAATTTGAATGGATGAGTCGTTAATAAGCGGCATTGCTAAACATGTTTAAGAATGCGAAGTTTATTCCTTCGCGTTTATTCATCTTTTTCGCACGACTTTGGGAAATACTGTAAGAACAGATCAGTTAAAACAAATTTATGCATAAAATTAATTTATCTTTCGACAACATATGCTAAATGTAAAGGCTTAGGAATTTCACTTTTAGTAGGAATAAACAGGAACGAAATCCGGTTACCTCGGCGCTCATCAATACTTTGATATGTCATATGATAGAAAGAACCATTTATTACGATCTCGTATTCTTACACGCAATATTTCGTTATTTTTGCTTCACCATTTTATTAATTAATTTTTTTTCAAGAAACACAAAACTAGTATAACGGCTACATTAAAAGAGAAAGGTGTAGAATTAGTCCAGAAAGTCTCTATATCTCCTTTTCGTTTTACGTCGAAGAAATAAATACCAGGATTAATTATAAATACATATTTATTACGTAGGATGAAATGCAAAGCAAATCATTTTTCTAATTATTCAAAGTAGTTTGTTTCATATTAGCTTCATTCAATCTCGATATTTTTTGAATTTAAAACTAATATTAGAATTTTATTCTATCGACTCTTTGCAAATTGGAATGCAAAAAAATATTAATGAACAAACGTGAGTGTGTTACGAAATGAAAGCAGACTTCTTGAGGGCATGGAATATTAACTTTAAATATCACACAACCTGTATTGAAACTTGTATACTTTCTCTCAATTATAAATTGTTTGGTGAATTTTATGTCTGTTTTTCCCCGGCAGAAATATTTGAATAAACGTTCTCTTTTTTTATAGTCCTTTAACATTTGTCCGTCTGGGATTATTCAAATATTAAATCAAATATAAAAAGAAAACAATGTGTGGTCAAAGAGAAACAAACGAACTCTCTTTCCAAGTCACCGAAGTATCAGAATTTACGTAAATTTATTAGCGCGTCTGCCTCGAATTTCTTCGAAAAGTGATTCTTGCACAGTAAATAAGCTGACGCAGGTATAATCATTGTAAACATTGTTGATGACTGAAGCAACTTCCAAGAATATAGTGTCTCAAACTGGAAACAGAATTTAAGTGATATTTTTTTAGCAACTTCATATTTAAATCAAGTTAAAGAATTCAATAGCAGTTCATCTTGGTCCTCAGATATTCTATCTATCGGTCATGATCAGTAGGTCATAATGATTTGATATTTGTACGCATTTCATATACATAGGAGAATGGCCTACAAAATTACATAATATCGTACACAATATTTGATAAATGACGCGTCACGAATTGAATCGCTCCAAAGCTTCTAAAGAAATGAAGTTAATGATCGTATACATACGCGTCTGCTACAAATGCGATTGCATTGGAGCGTTTCGGATATGCTCGTATAAAATGATTTGCCGTTCTTTTTCTCTTTCTCTTTCTCTTTAAAATGTATACGTGTATATGCGCGCGCTTGGAAAATGAATATATGCGTTAACACAATTTTACGACCACGACTTTCTGTCTCGTGTTTGCAAGGGCGATCGCCAACGATACTTTCGGTACTTTTACTCGCCACTGTCTCTTATTGCTTAATGTGCCGTTACAACAACACACGCGCATTGTTGAGCTGGTCCTACCGCTTTCGCAGCTCGGCGATAGTAAGCAAGATAGTCCGATATCTACCTCGATTATCTACACGAATTTACATTATATATGGTATATCATGATTTTTTATTTCCATTACAATCTGCACTTTACGTCGCAGATATAACGAATGTACATAATATCGCAAAGAATGTGGAATGTAAAATACTTTGCTCCAAGAACTCGTAAATTTAGATAAAAAGAAATGTTATTTCAGGTAAATATATATATATATATATATATATATATAGATGAGAAAGAGTCTGCGAACTATGCAAAAAGTGAATAACTTTCGTTCCATTAAATACGCATTCACGAAATATATACATACGTCTTTATTCCTGTTTAACATACCGTCACGGCTGTCACGTATAATAATTGACGTTTGCACGGCAATACGCATGATATTTTGCGATGATAGCGTGCAGTTCAGGTTGATTAAGCTTGTGTTTCCGACTGTTGACAAATACATAGCGATATGTGTCGGTGTACACGATTGTGTTAATTGCTGATCTTATTATCTTAATCACAGCTGGACTGTCAATGATGGTGTTTTCATTGCAAACTTTCGATCAAGGATCAAGGAACAAGGTAGTCTCTCATTAAATGTTACATAGGAGAATGTTAATATCTGTTACTAGAAAGTGAAGCGAGTAGAATTTCTATCATTAGCAAAAAGTTCATTGAATTAACGAGGAACGCCCTTAGAATACGCGAACTCCTTAATCTTTAGGGAAATTTTCCTGAATCAAGGTTTTAACCTTCGTCGTAGAGATTTCTCGAGCGTACATGTAATATGATTTTGCCTATGGATATCTAACACAAGTTTGCTTTAAACATAGTCTTCTGTCGTGAATCGAATGTATGATTGATACATCTGTGACTATATATAAAGATATCTCCATTATTATATAATACGTATATTATACAAAAATTAGTTCATTGCAAAGTGCATGATTGATACATCTCTCTTGTCATTAAAGAGGCCTATTATTATATAATAATGAGAAATATCACAGAAGTTTGCTTTTCGCATAAGTCTTCTGTATGGACCGAGTGTGTGATTGATATATCTATGACTTAAGATCTATTATTATCTTCCCGCCATCTCTATTTCTACGTCATTAATCTTCCTAGTTAGATATTTAAAGATAGACTTTATTCATTTTGTATCCTCCTGCGCCGTCACTTAAGGTCGCTCTCTTTTCCTCTCTCTCTTTCTTTCACTCTGCTGGACCTATTTCCAATCTTTTCTTCAGCAGCTAAGTAATGGTAATGACCTCAAACACGATGATCGCGGTTTCCAACTCGCGATAGCGAAAAGGAAGTCTGATAGCTGCCTTTCTATTCGCGAATACAAGCAGGAGTAGAAACACGTATGACGCACGCCGCTTCCGTCTGCTATTGCGCGCGCAAACGTCAAATCTAGATCAAGCTTTCACGACCTCCCGACATTACCGAAAGAAGTGAAACCACCCCGATACCAGTTAATGCGTATGTTACGCCAAACCTTGCCTGACCGAGCACGCAATA